GATAAAATATTTATGAAAATAATCTACGTCTTGCTACGATCACGTCAACATGAAGTTCACGAAATACGGAGCTAAAATGTGAAAGTTATGATTTAAACGGGATTTCCTATAGCAATATATTTAATTAAATCTAACCATGAAATTTAAAAGTTGCAAACTTGATTAACAGTGGTTCTAACATGTAGATTATGAAATTACGAAGCTAACGCAATTTGAACGGATCAATTCGAAGCTAAAACGACGATTTTATAAGCAAAACAGTTCAAATGGCATTTCTGTAAATACTGAAAACGTACTTTGAATTAACACAGTTAACTTTACGCTTTCAAAATGAGAAAGCGTACATGAGGAAATACGCTAAGGATGGCGGGTTCAAATAAGCGAAACCTGGGGGTCTCTTTAGAAATTTGACCCACGAAGGGGTTTGAGCCATAGAGAACCGTTGGATTTGAAATGAACGGCTCGGATAAGATCTGGGGGAGAGAGAAGGAAGGGGGTGGCCGGAACAGTGCTTCCGTCGGCGGTTCAGCCAAGGCTGACGACGAGAGCACGACGGTGAGCTCGGTACAGGGGCTAGGGGCCACGGTTCGAATAACCGAGGGCACCGGGGAGAAAGAGGGGAGCACGGGGATTCTCACCGCGGCGCAAAAAACGGGGACGGAGGCGGCTCGAGGACTGCGGACCGCGCGGAGGACGAACGGCGGTTCATGGCGCTTCTCCGGTGCTGCGCGGTTGCGGTCTTTGCTACACAGGGGAACGCGAGAGTGGAGCGGGGGCAGCAGGGGGTGCACGTGGGGGGTCTCGGCTCTCTTTTAAAGAGGTCAGGGAGCGAGGCGACGCGCCCACCTCGCGAGGAGTGGACGTGCACGGCGGTTGTGGCTGACGCGCGCGGGGTGCGAGAGGTTGGGGCAGCTCTGACGGGCGGGGCCAGGTTGTCAGCGGCTGAGAGGGAAATGGGAGGCGCGGCAACGGTTGCTGGCGAGCTGGGCCAAGGGAGCGGCGGTGGTTGCCAACTCGCCCGGTTGGGCCGGCCCAAGCAGGAACGGGAGAGGGGGAAAGGGAAGGCGCGCGGGCCGGCGGTTTCCTGGGCTGGCGCGGAGGAGTTGGGCCAGCAGCCAACTGGGCCAGCGGGAGGGAGAAGCCGAGTGGGCCAAAAGCAAGGGAAGAAAAGAAAAAGGGAATTTATTTCTTTTCAATTTTTTTTAAAGCAGTTCAAAATACAATTTCAACTCAAATCGAAATCCGACTTCAAATCAAGCAATACAAAATATTGTGCAACAGCATGAATGCACACACATTGTTGTTAACCTTATATTTGGTTTTATTTTTAATAAAATTATTATTTCCTAAATTCAAATTCCCACAATGCAGAATTAATCATTTTCTCCTATTTCCAAAAATATGAAAAATTTAGGGTGTGACAGGTTAGAGGTTCAAGGGAAGTTTATCCAAAACCATCAAGATATTGATAAAGTTACTGCAGAAGGTTTCAAGTTAGTTGGGATCAAGAAAACCTTATGTAGGTACTTAAAGGAGTTAGGGAAGAGGTTGAAGTAAAACCTATGCATTAGCTTTGCCAGATCAGGACAAGAGATTTATATCTACTATGATGCACCCTGTCAAGGTGTAGGATGTGTCCTTATACAAGAAGAAGTGGTGGTTTATGTGTTAAGTCAACTAAGGGAGCATGAGATGGGATATCTGACATATGAACTAAAGTTATCCATTGTGGAGCATGGAGATACTATCTACTTGGACATAAGAGTGACATCAACATGGATTGTAGGAATCCAAAAGGCATCAATACTAAGTTGGGTTGAGCTAGTGACACTATTTTTGGATTGGAATTGAATTATGACTTGGAGCTACATGTGGCATCTACAAGGACATGAGAGTGTATTTTCATGAACGATCGGACTGAAACTTGAGACACTGTAGATGGATTGGAGTAATCAAGAATTTTGACTTGGAAAGGAGCTATCACCGGGAGATGTCATTGCTGATGACTTTAGCAAAAAGAAGTTGTGCTAATGAAGATTCAGACGACACCAAGGACTAAGGCTATGTGATTCAAAGTTTGAGCATCTTAATCAGAGAATAGTCATTAATGTTTTGAAGTTGGTGGTAGAAGCTACCTTGGACCAAGAGAGTAAGGATGATTAGAGACAACTTGAGAGTGGCACAGTCTCGACAGAAGAGTTATTCTGACACTCGGAGAAGAGAATTGGTTTTTGAAATAGGGGATTATGTTTACCTGAAAGTGTCACCAATGAGAAGTGTGAAAAGGTTTAACATGAAAGGAAAGTTAGCACCAAGGTATAATGGACCTTTCCGGATCATTGAGAGACGTGGTGAAGTGGCTTATCAGTTGGAATTGCCTGAGAGTTTGTCAGGTGTGCATGATGTGTTCCATGTGTCTCAATTAAAGAAGGGCTTGCGTGTTCCAGAGGAACAGATACTATTAGACGAGCTTATAGTTAAGGAAGATCTTACCTATAAGGAGTTCTCGATAAAGATTTTGGAGATGGCAGAAAGGGTTACGAGGAGCCAAGTTATAAAGATGTGCAAGGTTCAGTGGAACCAGTATATAGAAGATGAGGCTACCTAGGAAAGAGAAGAGGATCTGAGAAAAAGATACCCGTAGCTATTTGAGTAAGCATCATCCAAATCTTGAGGACGAGATTCATTGTAAGGGGGCAGAATTGTAACACCCTAAACATTTCCATTGTTTTTAAATAGGGGAATATGATTTAATTATGTACTTTTGTGAGCATTTAAATTTAGAAAAATAATAACTTTTGTTAACTTAAAATCAATTATAGGGTTTACCTACATGCTTATGCATTCATGCTGCTGCATATTATTTTTGTATTGTGTGGTTTGAAATCAAACTTCAAATTGATTTAAATTTGGATTTGAAAACTGCTTTGGAAATTCAGAAAAGAAAAATAAAAAAAATTCTTTCCCTCCCTTACTCTCCCTCTCTTTCGGCCTGCTCGGCCTTGCCTTTTTCGTGGCCTAGCTTCCCCATCCCCACAGCCCATCTCTCTCTCTTCCCCCGCAGGCCCAGCTCCCATCTCCCCGCGCGCTCGGCCCGCACAGCCGCCGGCACCGGTGCCCTCTTCTCCTTCTTTGTCCCTGACAGCCCAGGCCCGTTTGTCAGCCGCGTCTCCTACCACGTGACTCGCTCGGACTCCACCGCTGCCACTGAGGAGTACGCACTGCCCCCGCCGCCGCGTCGTCTTGCCGTGTACTTCAAGTTCCCTGCCTCCATAAATAGCAGCCGCCCGCACCGAGCCGCCTCCTATGCCAAGCTCTAGAGCAAGTTGCATCCGCCGAGTCACCATGCCGCCATAGCCCTAGGCACCGCCATCGATGCCGTCCGCCATCCCGAGCCACGTGCCGTCTCCATCCGCTCCTTCATTGGTCTTTTTGCTAAAGAGACCCCCAATTTTTATGAAATTAACCCGCCGTCCACTGCCTTTTAGAAATAATTCAATCCAAGACCCTAGATCTTATGTTTTGACCCCTGCAGTTTTCCAAAAATGATGCCAAGTCCACCGAGAAGTTTTAATTCATTTTCTTTTATTTTAAAACTAAAAATGAGTTCAAAATAATTATAAATTACCACTAATTTTGTTTTGCTCATATCTTCTCCGTTTTAACTCCGATTTGATCCGTTCAAGTTGTGTTAGATTTGTAACAACATAATCTACGCATTAGTATCATTGTTTTCCATGTGAAGAGCTATGGAATTTCATGGTATAAATCCTAACTTGAATAATGATTATGCAATTGGATTTTCTAATTAAAAGTAACTTAGGATTTTCACCTTGGTCAATTATATGATAGTTATACCTTGTTTTTCCAAACCGAGTATAATTTGACTTAACTCAATTAAGGTATTTCTCTGAAGTATCTTATACATGTTTTAAATAGATAAAATAACTAAAGCCTATAGTTTCTTTTCAAAGCAAATCCATCGGTAGATGTATCTTTTTCACCGTAGATCCGATTAGAGTGCTTTTCGCGTCTGTGTGTTCGTAGCAAGATGTAGATTTATTTTACAAACTTTTTGTCTTGATTTTATGTTTGGTGTACTATTCTAATTTAGATCTATTGTTTACTTCATGTATGATTGCATGGATGCTTGTGTGGTGCTTTATGATCATGTCCAGTCAGTTTGCTTTACGTATTGATTAAGAAGCAGATCTTTGAAGATTTGGACTAGAAGAAGGATCTGAGTTTAAGGCAAGTATAGCATGGGATCATCCTTGTTGTCCTATTCACCTTAATATTATTTTAATCATATGCATGTGTCTACCTTGACAACCATAGTAGTTTTCCTAACTATTTGATATCCTGAATTCCTTGTCACCTATGGGTTATTGCATTGGGTAGTATTATGCTAGTCCTCAAACTAAAGCTATGATCTTATAAGTTGACTAATGGAGTATGCAATAAACATTAAAAGATGCTTTTTAGCAACGTGGAATCAGGGGGCTATAGCATTGGGCTGTTTTTATGGTGCTCTAGATTCCTCTCCATAAGGACTTATCTATAAGTGATTATCCGGGACTTATAACAACTGTGAGGGCTACATGGCTCTGGTTTTAGCTCAGTATGAGGACCTTTTTCTAGCTTGTTAGAGGTTTAGGCTTGTGATTAGGCTTGTGATCAACCAGTCAGTTGTCCCTGTGGAAGTGGAGTCTTCACCTGAAGATCAGAGTTATCTTTCCGCTGTCTATACTCTGAGGTTGTATTCTTTATACTAATACATTATGTAATAAGCATTGTCTTATAATATTACCCTTATTTGTAGCTATATGTGAGATTTGACTTCCTGCCCTCACATATGGTGTGTATCTGGTTTTGTTCTTAAAACCGGGTGCTATAATCAATAACTGGTGGAGCGGAGGTAGGCAACAAATTAGCCTTGACAACCTCTATTTCCTTAGATTGTTAATTAAGAGTCGTAATATTTTTCATTCAAGGATTACCTCATAAATATCTTCTCCATCATCACTTGAAGATGAAGGGTTGTCACTTATATCGCTTACAATATTACCTTTTGCCATGAAGCATTTTTGTGATGACATTGTGAAAAGTCTTCTTGGGGCCAATGGTTGTGAAGTCTTTGTTTGATTCATCGATTGAGCTTGAACTTGTGTTTTCACCACTCATCTACTCTTGAAATACATGTGAATAAGCATGTTGGTTCTTCCTTCCTTCTTCTTCTTGTCCTTAATTTTGTTCTTGATGTTGTGCACATGTATGTTGCAACCTACAATTGTGTACCACCCATTTGTACAAGATCTTCACATGTGTGTCCATCTTCGTTGCGTGGTTGCCGATTGCTCTTGGGCACTCTTCATCACACTTGAGAAGCTTGATGCATCACCACCACTTTTATCCCCTTCTTCTTCTTCTTCACTTGAATGCTTATAGATCAAGAGTACATACTAGGGGGAGGTGAATATGCGGTTTTAACTAAAATCACAAACGCTATGCAAAATTTATTAGTAACACAAGAGAGCCCCAAATTCTATTTTTGCTAAGTTAGGTGAAGGTTTACAATCTAGGGTGACATGTAATAATTTAATGTCTAGGAATGTAAAGTACTCAAAGTAAACTATAAGAATGTAAATTGAGCACGTAGCACAAGAGATAACCGATCGTGAGACAAGACTTTTATCCCATGGTATCAATGCTTGATGGTCTATTTCACATTGAGGTGGATTCAATGTTCAACTGCTCCTCTATCAAGACACCGATTGATCTTGAGCTGATTGGAACCAAAGAACCGCTCTAGGGAGGTGAGCACAAAACCTCTCGCAACCAACTCTAGGACACCTTCTGTCGGTACAGAAAGTGACCAATTAGTGAATATTTGTAGTTTTGCTGTACGTTGTGATCGGAGGTGGCCTAGCACTCAATGACACAGGATATATATTGGTTCATTCAACGTGCCCTACGTCCAGTGTGGGTCAGTCGGTGACTTTATTCCTGAGCCTAGGTGCTCAAAGTCTATAGTGGGGTTACAAACGAGAAGGAGAAAGGAGGGGTGTACGAGAGGCCCGGTCGGGTCTGACCGGAAGGGCCGAGGGCGACTGGAACTCCGCTATGAGCTAGGTGTTCAAGCGTGTGCTTGAGGGGTTTGTGAGCTATCGATCTAGTGAGTCTGAACTTGAAGAAGTGGACCTCCTTCATTGGAGGGAGCACATCCCCTTTTATAGATAAAGGGGATGGCTTTACAGGTGAGAGGGAGAGAGTACGGATGTTACTAAGCCTTGTTGCCCACGTCGATGAGGGCAGCGATGATGTTAGGCGCCCACAATACTGTTGACGTCACTGTAGAATGTCAGGTGCGGAGGTTGTGTTGGCTTCTTTAGGAAGGGTGGATGTTGGTACCTACAAAATACTATTGGTTTGTGAGAAGCCCTACCACGTGTACCAGGTATGGTGAATCCTGGCGCCCACAGTACCATCGATGCCCAGAGGCATGTGGGGGCTTTTTTCCGTACGAGAGTCCAACAACGCCTAAAATACTGTAGATATAAATGTCGGCGCCTACAATACTGTTTGTGTTAGGGCGGTCGTGGAGCACTGTTCCCGCAGGCGTACAGGGTATGGTCCCGGTATCGTGGTTTGACTTTGTGTGCTGCCTTCTCCGTTCGCCCCTGGTCCCTTCCGAGCGGGCGTCCCTGGTCGGATGGCTCTAGTCGGCCCTGGCCACGCCAGTCAGAGAAGAGCGGTACGCAGGCTTCCTATGGGTCCCTGGTCGGAGTCATGGGGTCGGAGTAGGAAGCAGCGTTTTGGGCCAGGCCCCCCGATCGGAGGGACCACCTAGAGGCGGCCGGTGCTCGAAGCGAGCGCTCTGGTCAGAGAGGTGGGCCGAAGAAGTTGACGAGCGGGCGTTTGTTCTTTTGGGTAGACCTCCCAGTCGGCGACTGGACTGTCCTCTCGGCCCGTTGTTGCTTAGACTCTTGGGTCGTCCCATGGACTACATGTTGTTTTTCCTGGGCCGAGCCCTGGTGCGAAAGCCGGTCCCCGAGGGACCATGGGTTTATGAACCTGATAGGAGCCCCCGAGCCCCCGGGCGATTTGAGATGAATCGTCAAGGGGTTTTTTGTCTTGACGGCGGGTGCGCGCGAGCGCACCCGCGGGTGTAGCCCCCGAACCCCCGGGCGGTTCGGGTAAAACCGGCTGAGGGGTTTTCTGCGTCGTCAGTGGGGGAGGTTTTTCTGTTGTGTCGGCGGGTGCGCGCAAGCGCACCTGCGGGTGTAGCCCCTGAGGCCCCGGGCGGTTCGGGTTGAACCGTCAGGGGGGTGTTCGTTTCTCCAGGGGTGTGTGTGTGTGTTTTTAGTTTGAGACATAATTTTGTTTAGCCACGACGTCGTTGCGTAGCTGAGGCGGTTTTTAGGCTATGAGACAGAACTTACTGATCCCGGCGTCGACGCGCGCCATGGATTGGGTGAGAAGTTTAGTAAGGGGTAAACCCTGGCGTCGGTGCACGCCATGGATGGGTGTAGCTCGGTTCGGAGAAAACGCTGGCATCGGTGCGCACCACGGACGGTGATAGGTCGGTTCAGATGTGTCAGAGCTCACTAATCTTTGGCGTCGATGCGCGCCGTGGGATCGAGCGAGGTGGAGCCGCGAACGGACCTAGGCGTCGGTGCGCGCCGTGGACCAAGGGAGTTTGTTAGTTAGTTCAGGAATCGGACGAGCCGGAGCTCATGGATCCCGAGAGCGCAGTCGGAAGTGAAGCCGTTACGCGAGTTTTGGAGTCATGGTCCCAGGGTTTATTGGAGCGCAGTGAAGCTGTCTGAAGTCGTTACACGAGTTTAGGAGTCACGGTCCCAGGTTTTATTGGAGCGCAGTGAGGCCGTCTGAAGCCGTTACGCGAGTTTAGGAGTCACGGTCCCAGGTTTTATTAGAGCACAGTGAAGCCGTTACGTGAGTTTAGGAGTCGCAGTCCTAGGTTTTATTGGAGCGTAGTGAAGCCGTCTGAAGCCGTTTTTGAAGCCGAAGCATAGTTAGTTGGTTAAAGATCGGACAAGGCGATGTTCGCGGATCCTAGCGTCGGTGCGCGCTGCGGGATCGGGCGAGTCGGAGTCGTGGATCTGGCGAGTTCGAGGTCGCTATCCTTTGCATTTTTCTTGAGCCCCCGAGCCCTATCGGGCCTTTGTGGGGGTCGATGTGAGTTTTGTGTGTTACCCCATCCTCGGTTCCTCACAACCGGAGGGGCTGAGTTTCGTCGCCTGTCCCGATCGCTCGGGCTCGAAGACTAGCTCGGTGAGTTCGCTAACGGGTGTGATCGAGTGGAATTCGGGTCCGTCGTTCATGACGGGGTCGGCATAGCCCTCTTGTGACATTCCACTACTCCTTTACCTGCAACCCGACAGATGCCTAGGTCGTTCTGGAGACCGACCCGGGTGGCCTAACGGCCACTCCTTTGATGGAGATTCTGTGGGCCTGGCGAGAGGTTAAGGATCGAACGAGAAGGTTGAGATGACCCGGTCTGCCAGACCAGGCTAGGGCCACATGGTGCTCATCTACGGTTTTCTCCCCTGGCTCTGTTGGTTGCCCATGTCGAATGAGGCAACCGCCGCTTCGTGACGTAACACGGAGCGTTCTGGTGCATTTTCGCTGCACGTGCGATGCTTAGTTCCCGAGCCCCCGGGCGGTTCAGGGCCCGAATCATCCGGGAGGCGCAGGCATATGGAATGAAATGCACGTATGGATGTATGAATGATTTATAAAGAAATAGAGGGGGTTTTGGTAATGTTTTACCTTGATGACTGGAGTGACGGGGTTCGTAGGGCTTCAGTCAGAAACGTCCGACCGGGATCTGCGCTCGTTGTTCATGACGGAGTCGGCATGGCCCATGTGGGGCATCCCTTCGCTTCCTACCTGTGTCTCGGTGTTTATCCTGAGCGATTCGGTCAGCTCGAGGGATCGGTTGTCTCCTGACGGGGATTTCGTTTTTTGGTCTCCCCAGGCCTGGCCTAGGGAAGCGGGGAGCCACCCGCGTGCGGTGGCGCTTCAGTTCCTGTGCCCATCGTGTGGTAGTGGTTGATCATGCGGTAGTGGTGGGCCACGGCCAGGCCACGTCCCACCTGATCAGGAGCCGTTCCATCGAGCAGGGCGTGTCTCATCGGTGCAGGGCACGTCTCATCTGCATTAAATGAAAAAGAGAGAAATTCACGCTCCACCGTTCTGCCTTCCCCGATTGGTGTGTCCTTCCTTAACCGCCATTCCCTTTCCTTTAAGTAGGAGCAGGGGGAGGGTTTTCGTTCCGTTCTTTTGCCTATTCTTCATCTACCGCTGCCTTCTCTCTTCCTTTTTGCCGCGAGTGTCCCTGAGAGCCACGGAGGTTTCTAGGAAAGAAGGGGGGAGAGCGAGGGAGAAGAGAGGAACTCACCGATCCTTTTTGCGATCCGGAGCGAGATGTCGGACTAGCGGTCATCCTCCATGAGGAAGACAGTGCTGGAGGCTTTCGTCGCGAAGGGGTTTCTGCCGCCGCAGGAGGTGGCACACTAGAGGGTCCCTGGGAAGGAGGAGTTCCCTCAACCTTGTCCCGACGAGGTGGTTTCTTTCCTTACCATTCATGAGTGCGGACTAGGGTACCCCGCGCACTGGTTCCTGCGTGGGCTCCTCGATGAGTGGAGTCTGGAGTCTGGAGCTACAGTATCTCAACCCGACGGGGGTGCTGCACATCACTGGTTTTGTCACCGTCTGTGAGGCTTTCCTCAGGATGGAGCCGCACGTGGATCTCTTCCGGCTTTTCTTCTCCGGGAAGACTGGAGTTCGACCGAGATCGCACCGGTGGGAGGTTTCGCTCTGCAGAGGAAGCCGAGCGCGGGAGGTTCATATCCCGCGTACTCCCCATGCGACTTCAACCGGGGATGGCATGGGGAGTGGTTCTATATCAGTAATCCAGCGGGGGCGCCGTTTCCAGCGTTTACCGGCGGGAGGCTGGTGAAGCAGAAGAGTTGGTCGTGGGGCTGTGCCCACACAGAGAAGCACAAGGTGGGGGTCATTGAGGAGCAGCTACGGAAGCTCGTAAGGGATGGCCTTGATGGGGTGCGGGTGTTCCACACCCTTTACCGCCGCCAGGTCGCGCTGTTGGCGAAGAGGACGCACCCAA